AAACTCATTTAAATATTTGCTAGCAGGAACTCTGATCTGCAAATTGCAGAACGTGCAAATGATAGTTACGCCATTGCAAAATTTCCATAAGCTGTGAATTAAATTAAACAGGCCTAGAATTGTAACCATGTATGTGTTGGGTTTTCACCTTGCGAAATAAAAGTTTCCTACCGTTTGTATTGTATTTAATTAATAACGTTGACTCTTCTTGCTGGCCTGTTGAAACAGTGTTCCGATCAGCGATTCCCAAACCTTTCTAGCTGCGACCTTATTTACAGTTTTGGTAGACTTTAAATATTAGTATTATGGGGTCCAAATCTGTCATAAATACTGGATACAATTGATTTTGTGTTGGGCTTCTGCCTCCTATTTTGGGAATTGTTAGACTAAGGAGTAAGTATGTAGAACAGAGCAGTCTGGCATGGCCAACAAACAAAAAGACAGTGATAGAATCAAGAAACAGACCCATCTGTTCGTGCCTGCAAATGCTGTGGCCTACGCCTCGATACAAAATCAGCCCGGGGAGTGCCGTTTAGATTATGTGAACTCTCTCGAGACAATCGCCCATTGAATCTATAAATTTCGCAAGCTCTTTAATAGTAAAACACGCTAATGAGACATACATTTTTGGAAGGCCATCTGATCCCCCCTCAGTACACTACAGGTAAAGAGCACAAATACGTATAGTGCGACACTGTCAAAGACAAGTAGAAAGGGAGTTGTGTTCACATGATACGCTTTGTGTCTAGTTTCTTGCTTTTCTTCATCTGTACCTGTGGGTTGTAAGCTCCCGGAGATGCTCTTTTCAAAAACTGGTCTTTCAATCAGGTGAAAACATTTTGTATTGGTTTTTAATACAGTTGTAGAAAGTGCAGTGAAATATTTTTTTGAGTTTGATACCATTAAATGTTGGATAACTGATCTTTTTGTTAAATAAAATGTTGATTGACTATTACTGTTAAAGTTTCTTTTTTTTCCTGGCATTTTGATGGGTTGGGAACTTGAGCTTTTGAGAATTTGAGAAGCAAATACAACTTCATGCAGTGTTCTTCTGTGGCATGCAGCAGGCTTATCCTGTGTACGTTCAATATTGCTATTGATCCTCGGGGAAAAATGTTTTAAACTAAAAATTATTTGATTCAAAATGATTGAAAATAATAAGCCACAATAAAAGATTTTTTTTTTTCATACTTCACGCAGGTGAAATGAAGTAATTCTTTAGCTTTAGAGGCATTCCCTAAATTACCCATCCCCTATTGCCATCAGCCGTGCCAGCTGGGAGGCTGATGGTTCTCTCAGCTGGGAACTCCAAGTCTCTCATGGAATGAAATTGTCTTACATAGGAAACAACATTTCATTCCCCAGGCTGGCGAAAGCAAACTCACTGGGCTCTGTAGCTGAGATTTGATGTTTGCGCTTCATCTGTAGCTCCAAAACCACATCTATTGCATGTAGAATGCTGAAAGTCTGGTCTGGTTTGGGGTCACTGTAAGTTCCGGCCCCTTATGCCGGATGTAAATAGTGTGGGTGTCAGTGGATGGCACTTGCAGTCCAAATGCTTGTGACCTGAATGGCTCCTTAGAAGCGTTCCCATCTTGTGAAAGCAGCTTTCTCAGATGAGTGTTGCACAAAACTTTCCCTTTTCTTTCATTGGGAAGAAGGTCGCTCGCTTGTCGCTGTGGTTGGAGCGTCTTGCTTCTGCACGTTCACGGAGCTGAGATGAGGAGCTGGAAGCGAGTTGTGGTTGAGTGCTGCCACAAGCGGTCCTCAATGTGGAAACAACTCTTTACTCTCTTCCCATACTTACCCCCAAAAACCACATGTGTCTTCTGGATATCCAGGATTGTTTCATGGGAGAAAATCTTGGCAAACAGGTCTTTCCGCACAGAGGAGCATTCTAGATGGTTCCCAAGAGGTGGTCGGGGGAGCGCCTACTAAACCAGCACAGCAGAGCCACTCTGCAGGGCAGGTGCAGGACAAAGAATCGGTGGGTAATCCTGAAGATCGCTGTGCTGGATTTTTTTTTTGGAAGTGCACATCAGTGATGGGGTAGCAGGTATGACTTCACCAACACCTCCAGCTGGGATAAGTACGTCTGAAATTCTCATTCTGTTGCTCCTCAGGCCTTAGCGAACCTGGCTCGTGCTCCATCTAAACGATGTTTTTCTGTCATGAGGAAGTTTTTGTTGCCCCCTCACCTCATCCCCCCCCCAAGTCTGGAGGCTGCCTGTTTGGAAATGAGGATGCAACTTGGGGGAATGCAGAGAATAAATGGGAAAAACTTGCTGCAAAATAATTGCATTTATATTGGGCATTTACTTGCCCAGAGAAAGACAACAGCAGCCAGGACTACCTGGCTACATTAGACTAAACTGCATAAAACCCCAAAACGCGTGGCAGCCCTTTAAAGACCGAGGGCAGCCTGCCGGCCAGTGAGCTAGACCGGAGCCTGGCCGCCCAAGGAGCTGGCTGGGAAATGAAATTGTGCTGGTACGGACTGGGAGAGCTCAATGCAGCCCCCGCACCTCCAGCGATAAGAGGAGGCTGAGGGAAGACCTTATCCCTCTCTACACCTAACCTGAAAGGAGGTTGCAGAGAGGTGGGGGCTGACCTCTTCTCCCTGGTGACAAGTGATAGGACGAGAGGAAAAGGGCCCAAGTTATGTCAGGGGAGGTTTAGAATGGATATTAGGAAACATTTTTTCTCTGAAAGGGTTATTGAACATTGGAATAGGCTGCCCAGGGAGGTGGTGGATTCGCCATCCCTGGAAGTGTTTAAAAAACGGTAGATGTGGTACTTGGGGACATGGTTTAGAAGTGGTTTTGTCAGGGTAGGTTGATGGTTGGACTTGAGGATCTTAAAGGTCCCTCCCAACCTCTATGATTCTATGATAAATAAATCCCCCTATGACACCATCCTGTTAGAGAGGGCGGCCTGAGGTAGATACAGATCTAAGGGAAATACTTTCCACCTCAAAGCGTAATTTTTTTTTTTTTTTTAATGAAGAAAGTAACTATTTAGAGACTTTCTTACATGCTTAACTGAGATAATTTACTTAGAAAAAGAGATGCTAACTCTTTAAGGGCCATTACTAGCTGGAGGAGAATGGATGGTTTAGCTAAGGAGAGACTCGCCAGAAATCAGAGCGCGGCTGCTCCTCTAACAAAGCAGCCAGGTGCTCTTCTCAGAGCTGGGCAGCTGACTCCTATTAGGCAACTGCTTGATGAAAGGGAAGGTTGGCTGTTACCTGCTGGGTTGTCAGAGGCTCAGCGGAAGAGAAAAGGAACACGGCGCATACCCAGAAAAATCCAGGTATTTATAAATATTTTTTTCTGCGTAATTTTTCTGTCTTAATTTGACCAGGGATACTTTCTGCTCTATGTTGTAAGTATATTAAACAAATCACACTTAAATAGAGTTTGCATTTTTTGCAGTTGTTGAACTCAAATTTTTATTTTTTTTTCTGTGTGAAAAAATATTCAGATTTTCCTTTAAGCTTAAAAATGGCGTCTTTAACTAGTACTCGGTGCAAGTGTTTGGCTCAGTTCAGGATTATTTGTGTGTGTTTGACAGTAAGAGGACATTTGAGCTGGCTGTAATATCCACTCCGAAGGAGGAAACATTTTTAGCTAAATAAAGGTCCCAAATACTTGACCTTGGACATGTGCTACAGACAGAACAGATATTGTGAGTAGGGGGGGGAAAGTAACAAATCCACTTCACTTTACTGCTTAATCCTTGCTTTTAGCCTTAGAAAGATTCTTTTTGGCTATGGGGAAAATGGTCTGGGAAATGTATGATACTTTTCTTTCCAAACTGAATCATAAATGAAACATACTTTTAGGGTTGCAAAATGTTTCTAGTTAGAAATTTGATTTACAAAGACATACTGTGAATTGCATCTCTTTCCCAAAACTGAATGCATAACACTGGATGGCAGCTGTAAGCACTAGACTTGCTGGAGAAGAATGATTTCACCTGTAGCTGGGGTGTCAATTTTGTCTGCCATTGATTTTGTTCATGCTTTTGGAGAGGTGACTGATAGTAGCCATTCTTATTCCTAGCCAACAGACCAGCGACAAAAAGATGGGATTTCAAAAAAGTGGAGGATATCTAAAAATGCAGCTGGTGTTTTCCCTTAACTACCCATATAAGCAAGAGTTACGGTTGGCAGTGAGATGATGAAAGGACGTTGATAACCTGTACAGCACTATGTAGGGCTTTTAAATCAGACCTCCTGGTTCAGGTTGATGATGGAAGTAACTGGTTTTTCTAGAAAGCTACATGTATGGCATTTCATGAAGTAAATTATTTGGCACGCAGATACCCTTTGTGCAGGAAATGAGTTCTATCAGATGACTGCAACATGGCTTAGCTGCTTTTCTGTCCCAGTGAAGGCTCACTGCTCTGGCAGATCCCTAATACAAAATCTGACACTGACAGGATTTAGAGATAGCAGGAGAAAGCAT